AATACTTAACAACTTGGAAGTGAAGTTAGCAAAACAAATTTCATCATCATCAGCCTATTAATGTCCCCACTGCTGGGGCACAGACCTTCCCCATGGATGGAATAGGGAGTTTGGGCCATGATCCACTACGCGGGCACAGTGTAGATTGGAGGGTGCTAACGACTGCAGATGCATCCGGGAACCGATGAACGAAGCACGGAAGAACTCGAGATAGAAGATTTTTGGGTCACCCATCCAATGACCGACCACTGCGAAAGTTGCTTAACTTCAACGATCGCAGCCGAACACGCTAACCACCTGCGCCATCGAGCGAAACGAAACATATTTGCTTAGGTATAAGTCACGAGAAAACCACAGCAGTATCCCGATAACAATAAAACATCCTTACCTTCTCGTTTGTAAGTACATAGACCGGTTAATATTGAATCTTTTATATCTTACGACTCCTATAAATATTAGTACGCTCACAATAAATAACGTGACTGTATGAAAACATTACTTACACGTTATGGTACGGAGAGTGCATCTAAGACACGGTGCGCGAGCCATGCATGAGCCAGCACAAATCCGTTCCGATTTCCCAGTCACCGTGCGCATTACAACAAACGCGGCGCCTTGCATTTTTCACGGGATAGTGTGGAAAGAGGAATGGACGACCTCTGTAGCCCGGTAATCTTAACTGCGCGACCAGCTTTAGACTATTCCGTCAACTTATGATTTACTCAAATTATATTTCTTTTTTATAGTTTTAAAAAGAAAATAATTCAGTTTCCTAATGTGAAATGAACGTTTGTCGTCTTCCTATAAATGTCTACAAAGACCAGAAAATAATTCTATGACCTTTATAAAGGACCGCTTAGCTAGGTAGCTCGAGATAACTTTTATGCTCCCAATATAAGCCGTGTCATTGCGAAATTTGCTAAACTTAAGATTAAATTATTACCTCTGCTCTATCGAGCTCATTATTAACATCAGTCATCATCAAAAATTAAAAAAAAACATAAAATATAAGTAATACATTTTAAATTACGCGAAATTACTAACAGTATTTCCAACAAAAATCATTTTATAGATCAAAATGTTTCCACTAGTTTCTGTTCTTTGAAAATTTATGAAAGGCCGGCTTGTAGAAGTAACACTCAAGTGTAAAACTTTTATGCTGCTCCTACACTAGACTCTTTATATCTCCGAAGTAAGCCTTGGACGCAAACACGCGCGTAATCCCACCGTCATAGGGACGATTCTTTATTTTATTCACAGTGCAGCGCAGGAATACATCTTTACAGGGACTCGTTGGGAGCTATCCGGCGTGATAACTCAACGTTGGGTATTCACAACTCGCATAAACATAGCAAACTAACTTGTATCAAATTTTCTATAGGTTCCTTTTTTGGTACAAAGCTGTCTGTCAACGCTGGGGTGTATTTAATGGTGGCCACTGACCATCATGCCACGTGATCAAGTTACTTGATCGAGCCAAAATTCCTTCAAGTGGCATGTCTTTCCAAATTGTCTCCCCACACACGGTCAATTTAGCATGATCAAGCCTTATTTTGTGTCTGGGAAATGCTTTACGCATCCTTCAACCACTATTCATTTCAGCCAGCTCTGTGGACGGGTGAAATAAACAGGGCCCTACCTAACGCCCTGAACAGGGCCACTAAAAACCAGACAATACTCCTGCACCGTCACCCGACATGCACTATGAGGACCGCGGTCCCCCTAGTGAATGCCGAGAGGGCGGGTGTGGTCGCGGCTCCCGTTTCCGAATGGCCGCGCACCAGGTGCATGATCAAGCCTACTTATTTGATCAAGTCACTTGATCAAGCCGCTGCATGGTGTGGCCACCAAAATCAACTGCATGAATATACTTATTTTATATAGTTTTTAAACTATAACAACAAATAAGAAAACTCAGTGAAACCCTTTTTTCCCCCACATTTTTTTTCCCATGTAAGAAAAGTAAAGTAGTTTTGATAGTAAGAAACCCTTCGTTTGCGAGCCCGAACCGCACCAGGCCAGTTTCTACAAAGCAACGTAATTATCGACATGACAAACTTCTGAAACTATTCACGAGTATTAAAATAATAAAAGTCACTGATATGCAATCTAAATGAGATTTACATTATAAACTAACAATTATTTCAGAACAAGTAGAAAAGCAAAACAAGGTGTTCCAACCTTTAGCCAACAATCGTTCGGTATAAATCATTTTATTGGTATAATTAGGCCGGCCTTACGCTCACGAGCAACAAACGTCGATAGTGTAGGGTCAACAACTGAAAAACAATAAGAAATGGAAGAAAACTCATTAGTCACGCGAGCAAACCGAGTCGCACGCCCGTTGCTGATTGGATATTCGATACTGCTATTCAAACTTGTTTCCAATCTCGGAATATTTTCATACAAGTTGATTGTCTTCACCAGAATACTTTGCCTCTTTCCGTTCATGCTAGTTAAATGTAGAAGTAGTATTTAGTTAGAAACGTAAATGTGTATTTTAATAACAAACATTAAGCCGCTTGTAAATTATGTTACATAATATCTGCAAAGAAGTAAAACTAATTACTGAAAAAAAATATGCTCTGTTCCTTGAGTTAAATGGACGGCAAATAGTTAAGGTTATTCTTTCTATCCTAAATTATCATTTGTTGTATAATGAAATAATTTTATAAGCTCTGTAGTATAGGTATATTTACAGCAGAACATTATTAAAAAAAATAACAAATGAGCATCCAATACAAACGTGTTCAACGGAATAACACTTCATAAAGGGAAACATTAAACTTGGTAAATCTGAGGGTAACTTATTATATAAATATGACCCTTATTTATAGCCGAACTCTAGACTTATTTCAGATTAACTTCAGGATAACGTCCGCGGTGCACTTCATAAAGCAACTTTTAAAAGTTACTTATGTTGGTCTATGTTAAAATCGATTGCGATGTGGTGCACTTTTGGATTGGATAAAATTTTTACACGATTACTCTCATGCGATCTTGAAATACAGTTTAAGGTAAGTAAATGTAATCTTTATCACAGCACCTATATCACGATTGAATTTGAATGAAACCTTAAGGTTCATTTACTATTTCAAAAATATTTATGATAATTAATTATAAAATATTTTAACTTGATGTCTATCAGCCCCGTGTTTTTTCGAAAATAACAATGCATAAAATATAGTTAAATTTCTTATTTCAAATTAATATACTATTTCTGATTGTTTGCACACTGTTTACGATGACTATATATTTAAAATTTTGATATTTTAAGTAACTTCTTGTATTTTTAATAACTTCATAAAACGTAAAATTGTGAATCTAGTGAAATAATAAATTAGTATATTATATTGCTTCTAATACGCAATATTAATTTATTTAGGGTCCACTTGCACCAAAGATCTTAAATAAAATTTAAAAACTAATCATGTCTAAATCATTGATTAACTTTAAACAAATTGTAAAAACTAGCCAAGCGCGAATCTGGACTCGCTCTCTTAGGGTTCCTTATAATGTTTCTTGGTTTCTCTAAAAAACCGCAAATTAGTTTTTTTAAACGAAGGCAGAGTAGCTTCTTGCCATATTATCCTGTTATTAAAGCTACATGCTAAACTATGACTGACTTATGAATTAGTTCATTCCGAGCTAGACATCGCAACAAACCGAGAAAGGAAAATCATTTGTTTGTTTTCGTCACAACTTACATGTACATTATAAATCGTATTTTTCAGTATTTGTTGTTTAAATACAGCATATGGGACATCATATACCAAAATTTCACATTCATGACTAGTTCTGGTTTTGAGCATAGACCCCAGTAACAAAAAATACTAGTGAACTGGAATGGTTAGGAATTTCTTCGTTAAAGAAAATAATTCATGATATAAATTATATCCAACTCAACGAGCTCTAGGCAATGATATATGTCACATGCTAGGGTAAAAGAGAAAAAAGTCTCCTTTTCCATATATATGGGAACACGCATGAAAAATACTTTAAGGTTATTTTTAACTAAACATTCTGCTTTGTCAAGCATTCTGCATACAATACCAAAATTTCGGTTCTGTAACTCATTCCGTTTACGATCTAAAGACCTGTGACAAACGGACAGACAGATACACAAAGGACAGAGTGAGGGTTCCGTTTTAACCTTTGGGTAAGGAATCCTAAAATCGAATGATGTTTTAAACAGATTAAATCCTTAATTTGAATTAAGAATATTGGTACAAGTAGACCTAAGTCCCACCAAGTAAGTATGATTAAAGTTTTGCAACACATAATGTATACTTATAATTTGCAGGTTGTAAAATCACAAGAATGCCAGTGACTTTTTCTGCGTGGAAAATCCCATACAAACTTCCACTTTCCTTTTCACACCTTTAAAGGATGATTTCTGTGATAAAAACTATCCTATATACTTTCCCAACATTTTAAGTACCAAATTTCATTTAAGTCGGTTCAGAGGCGTAAGCCAGATGAGGTAACACACAGACAGATAGAAAGAATGACGGACACACTTTCGCATTTATAATATTAGTATGGATAATAACATAGTTGTTATTTATTTTATAAATAGGTCTGACAAATGTCTCCTCCCCACCTGATGTTAAGTGAGGGTGAAGTCCAGACGTGAAGATAGCTGGTACAGCAGTTCTACCTGCCACACCAGCCATCCTCACCTTGACGGCCTGCATGTTGCTTCTTCACGCCTCTCTTAAAGGATCCACCATCCATCCATCTTAAAGGACCCCGGTTGTAAGAAGGAGGGAACACGTGAGCAGGCAGAGCATTCCATTTACGGATAGTGCGACAAAGAAATGAGCCACCAGTCAAATGTAATTTTCTAAACGCATGTTATGAATGTTCGCTTCATACGAATGTAGTGGCCGCTCGATTTCAGAGAATGGCGGTATGGCGGAGGATCGGTCCGACCGACTAACGAGGTTTTAATGCGGAGAAAGGCCAGGCTTATCACTATCTCGGCCAGAGTAACTCACCGTTGCGGTGATAGAGCTTGTGAATTCATCCTACATGCTCGCTATGCAACCGGAAACTCGGATAACTCGATTCCATATCTCCTTCATAGCATGTTGATTTAGTATAAAAAGCTAACTCTTTTTTAATATTGCGTGTAAGTTATTACAAAAAAAAATATAATTTTTATTCTTTTCTAATAGTCCTACATCCTATACTACTAAAATTATTAATGCGAAAGTGAATTTGTTTGTTTATTTGTTTGTTACGCTATCACGCCTAAACCCCTGGACGCATATAGTTTATAGCCTGGATTGAGACATAGGATACTTTTATAAAAGTGTTAGGTTCCCAAGGAGTTTTCAAAAACTAAAGTTAATTCAGATGAAGTCGCGGCCGGCTGCAAGTTACCTATAAATGTGAAACTTTGTATGTTTGTTACTCAAGAACGCAAAAAAAATGAACGTATTGGGATGAAATTTGGTACGCATTTAATTTAAGACCTGGTTAGAGACAAAGGATACCTTTATCCTGAAAAAATCTGGTTCCTGTGGGATTCAAACCTTAAGTTAACGCGGACGAAGTCGCGGGCGGCCGCTAGATAAGCAGTAAATATTAAATTCCAAGTTTTCGTTGAATAAGACATATTTATTCCAAGCTTGCGTAAAGCAAAAACAGATGAGTTTTGATATTCCACATATCACAAATGTAATTTGCTAACGTATATGGTTCTGTGGTAATTTGGCTGTTCACAAGCAAAACCAAACTAAACCAAGCCCCAGTTTATACGAGTTCGAAAGTTTGCATAAGAGATTCACACAGCAAGGGAAACTAACTAATAAAGGGCTTCTACGTAACACGCACAAAGGAATAAAACCAAATCCCGGGTCTAGCTCCTATAAATATATATAACTGATGCCAGCAATCCTGGAATGTAAATACAGCGATCGACCGTTCGTTTTAGATGATAAACTTTCTATAAATGTATCTAAACGCAATATCTTATATGGATCATTTTACTGCATATAAATAAAGCGAAAGTGAGGTTTTATAGGCCAATACGAAATTGTTACGGCAATAACTTAACGTTCTCAATCTCTCTGGTATTGGAGTGGATGAGTTACGTCTAAAACATAGCCCATCACACTCGGTACAAGCAATCCTCGCGTTTGTGGTGAATACTAATACCTTTTATTAGGAGCGTTCACATATTTCATCATAAAAACAACATAACGCACGGAACAATCGTAAGATACGAGCCCGTTTATATCCGAACGGGTTTCGGGATCAGGACTTGGCTATTATCATACGTTTCTGGTAATCGAGTATTACTTGGGCGTAAAATGATTGGTTTAAGTAGGTATCTGCTAGTAATAGGCAACTTTACCCACAGTAACATAATAATATGTAGGTAAATTTTAGAACTAGGTACAATGTTCTGTTTCCTTCATGTGAAAGTTTGTATGTTTTTACTCAATCACGCGAAAATTACTGAACGGATTAGGATGTGCATTCAACATAGTTTTTGACCTGTATTGAGACATAGGTACGATACTTTTGACATAGTTAATATCACTTATAATACTAACGGTTGACTTCACCCGCTTTTACTTTAGTTTTTTGAGAATACCACATGAACCTAACAATTTTGCTGGATAAAAAGTACCTTATGCTCAACCCAGGTCATAAACTTTATGAATTTCAAATTACATCCAAATCCATCAGTAGTTTTTGCATGATTAAGTAATAACAAACATACAAACTTTCACATTTAGAATATTAGTAGGGAGTAGGATTGGATACACATAATTACTAATTTATATGCAATCAATTTGTATTTAACAAATTCCCTCAAGATATTAATTCGACTTAAACCAATTCTGGTTTGAAATACCAAAATAATATATACCTACGTGGGATGTGTCTTAAGCTCAACAACACACACAGTAGCCCTAAATAAAAGGGTAAACAAACCATCACAAAATAACTGTGCATACCAATAGTAAAACAAAACCCTGTATATCTCTCAAATCCTCGAGGTGAGTCCCCAGAAAGTCTGTTACGGAAAATTTGTTTAACTTGACTTGAAAAGGGGCAGAATCTTGCGGATAAAGTAAAAGATCCGAGGGACATGTGTAAAGGACGTCAGGGGATACATCTTGTTTAAATGCTGAAAGTCGCGCCCTTTTAAAAATCAACACTTGCATATAAAGTAATAATCAAAGATATTTATAAAATCAATATTGAGATTTTTTTAAGTTTAAACAGATTTAAGATTTTTTTTTTCTGAAAAAGACGTTGTTTTCATTTGTTGAAAGTACCTACTTATAGAAATAGAATGGGCATAAAATTCTTTATTGCGAAGAAACACAATAAGCCTCACCAATGCACAGCCTAATAATATCAGTGTTTCGCTAGAATTTCTTTTTGCATGACATTATATTTATTATTATTTATTTGATTCTCCTCCCACCGGAATCTTAGGAAAACATGTCATGCTAAAACAAGCTTACTACAACAAATCTATTTTGGATACTACCGAAAACATAATAAATATTTTTATTCATCCCATTAGCTGCGAACCAATACAAAACCCAACGAAAACGCCGGAATTAAGGAGGTAAGTTTCATATTCAACATTCTTGGAAAAAGAATATTTTTATTGAAACTAAATTGATACAGCGCAGATACGCGCAGACATTTCTGCGTAACAAAGAAAAAGCTCCATTTTGCATGAATTATCTTAACCGGACGTTGGTTGCTCGAAGCTGGGAAACTAGACCCTTATCAACGGCAATATCTTGTAACAAAACTAAGGATATACGTAACCGCGTCCCAAAAATTTCTTCCACTAACTAATTTTCCAGTTTATGACAGCTAGGGATTTTCCCAGTTTATTATATGGACTAGCTCAGTTGTCTCAATTATAACGAAAACTTCTATTAAGAATTTATTACTGGAAAGTGTTGCTATCATTGCTTACTATTTCTGAATATAATTATATTATTGAAATTTTTTGGTAATAAATAATGTTTTAGGAACGTTGAGACCTTTGGGAATGGCAAAATATACTGAACTCGCGTGACTTTTTGCGCTTCGAAACATATATGTAACCATGTATTTATATATTACAAATACGATTGTATTCTTACTAATAATAATAGATGTTATACAGCCCGAAATATAGATATATGTGCTCATGATACAAATGAATTCCTACCAGATTTCTATAACTCTTTCTTTGGAGCAGAAAAACGCCGTTGCACCTACTTTAAGGGTTAGGGATACGGCTCCTAAGCTTTATCGGTACAGTGGACTGCTTAAACTCTTCATTGCTGTTAACAGCTAAATGTGCAATTCTTGCATGAACTGCGATCAAGAGAAAATTATTTCTCTCATAAGCAAGAAAATTCATTTCATGTACCCATTTGATTACGAGAATTTAATTTGAATTTATGTTTTCTCGCAGCTTTTAGCAGTATCCGGTAGGTATGTTTGTTAGTTTTTATTTGCAGCTAGATCGTGCGATGTCCGCTCAAGCTTAAATTAAGATGCGCGTTAAGCTGGAGTGGATGAAACAAGTCTAGAAAACAGCTTTAAGTGCACATAAAGTGGGTTAGCCGACGTCGCTCGACCAGCCAGCGGGTAATACCAGATCGTGTTCTTTTTAACGAGTCTCCAACCGGGCATAATTCATGACGGTGAAATAAAAACTCTACTAGTACCAAGCTGCGAAGCCGACGTGATGTTAACAATATTTTAGTTTTCCCGAAATAGTGTGTTCTTCCGAAAATAAATAAGTCGTCATGCAAAAAGACGTTTTGACGTATACTTTTTTGCATCGCAAGCTGTCACTGGTGGAATAAATTCTAAAAGCGAAAGAAGAACATAACATTAAGCAGGTGTAAAGATTCTAGCGCAGATAGTAGGTAAGCTATATGGTCGTTGTCAAACCAATATCTGATATGTGCACTTTTGAAAATTTCGACATTTCATCATTATCACTAGTAAACTAACCGTATTTTTTAATACAAAAACTGCTATTCGAATCTAAGCATAGTAACTTTACCGTTACTATGCTTAGATTTGTTAAAAATTTAACCCAAGAAAAAATAGTCTGTATGGTCTCATGACCAAATGGTGATAACGGAATCCTATAACAAGCCTTCGCTGTTCGATAAACCGCCCAGCTGTCTATCAGGAAGCTGTATCTCATGTTCATACAAGAGATAAATAAAATAATGTTTAACAACATGATGTTTCAACGCGTAATAATAGTATTATCTCTTGTTGGTTCAGAGCTAACGTAAACAAAACTGAAGAATAAGTATAAGCTTATAATCTTTGTCGGGCCCGCTAAATGGAGTCGGCTTGGCTCCAGCCCAGCACAGCCCGAGTCCGACCGAAGACTAAAAGGTGAACAACATTATGCAAATAACCACACTCTTTGTTCTACGCTAAAGCTATTTACATTTTATTTATTTGCAACAACGTAATGGCCGGCCTGTTTGGGGCAAGTTCTGCGTTATTGTTTAGACGGCGTTAAGTGGGTTTTGCTTTAAAATGGGCCTACAGCGTGATCTGTGGCCACCGAGATTTAAATCTCTGTACATAAATTTCCCCAGGATGAAAACACGCTGCAATAATTATTTGTTCAGTACTCTCTGTTGTACATCCGCTTTTTATGTTACGTAGTTCAAAAACAGAACACGTATTCTGTGTAATAAACAGTAATCGACGAACTTAAAACGTATGTGTACTGTACTTAGCCTAGTTTTACGGACTCTTGAGACTGTAAATTGCTAGTTAGATTTACGAGAAAATGCATCAGAAGACTGCAACTGCGAAGCTAAGTCAGAATACTAGTGCCAACTTAGTGAACTTGGGCGGCTATTTTGTAACATTTTTTTCTATGTATTATATACCCTGTAGGAAGCTTGAGCAAAAATAAATAAGTATTATATTTATGCTAATAACGACCTCGAACCCGTCGTCCTGCAACTTTGTATACGGACTTCAGAATACTAGAACATGTTAAAATGTAGCATACAG